TTAGTAAAATAGTTGATACCTACAGTAGCAGGTTTTTTCTGCCTTGTCGATGAATATTTCAAGTTTTTTCTGTAAAATAGTTTATGCCTACAATAACAAGTTTTCGAGGATTTTTTCACGCATGTCTTAGGCACACTTTTTGTTACTAAATATTTTTTTTACTCAATTTGTTTTGAAAATAAAGCTCCCTCTTTAAAATAAAACACTGTTTCATAAGAAAAATAATTTATCCTTGTTAGGCTTAGCAAATCCAATAACTTGCATGTGTGCTGTGTCTTTAATCATTATTTGTGTGAGATAATATGTATCAAAACTGATTTGATGAAGAAGTCTGGGTTCACTCTGAGCTGATGCGCTACTAATAATGATGAATGTTTCTATTTATTTACCTTTTTGATCAGGATGCTATAATTTTTTTAATGCCATACTTTGGGATCGGGATAGCCTGGCTGGTAGGGCACTGGGCCCATGTCCAAGAGATCGAGGGTTCGATTTCCGCCAGCCGTGTTGTAAATGGTGACTGATGCACGTTAAATCTGTCGAGTCTCAAAGTTCTCAATGTTAACATCACAAATTATACCTCTGGGGGTACTGGTGTTTCTTTGTCTTCTGGATCGATTCAAATTTACAAGGCTACGGAGTTAATTATAGTAGTCAAAACCCTAAATTGGGTCGGCTGTTCGGTCAGCGGATATAAAATAAAATGAAATGGAATACATTGAAGAACATCCAGTTAGTGTAATTCAGTGAAGAAGATATTTTCTTAGAGAGAATTTTATATTTCCCATACATAAATATAAATACATATTGGTGTATTTATGAATATTGCAGCAGATATAGAAATAAATTTAAAAGCTTAAATCTAAATTCCTGATTTGTTAAAAATAAATTTTGATTTAAAATACCATCCAAGACTTAGTTGTTGGTACATCAACATACGAACATTTCATAATCCTGAAAACTAGAAAGCGTTTCTGAAAGCTTTGATTCATAATTCATTTTTAATGAAACACCTTACATTGATAGTAACATTTATTTCCACGATAATAAGTAGTTGGTTTTCTTAAAGAGATGTTGAAAAGTCTCCTAAATTATGCAAGATCGATGAAATAAAGGTTTAAAAAGGATTAACATTGAATGTTGGAGTAAACCTAGCACCCTAAAGACTCCGCTTGCTTATCATACCGTTTCTAATCCTCTTAATGGTATAGGGCTAAGCTGAAAATTAAATGAACATGAGTTATTGCCGGGGGAGGGTAACAAGCGTCAGGTAAAGCCCTAAAGACCTCTGAAGTTTGTCGATAGCAGTAAGAGTTTGTTAAATTAAGTTCCAAACTTATTCGTGCATGATTTTAGAAACTTCAAGATATTTTAGTCCATACGTTAACACTTTTTTTATCTTTAGTTACGTTTTAATGTACGTAATATTTAAATATATTTCTTTAGTCATAAATAATGTTAGTAATTATACAAAAAACAAAACATATCAAAATATGCACAGTAGTTTTTTTATTCACTGTAGTACACTGTTAAAAGTTTCATTCTAAAATTATGGTAAAATAACTGGCAGCTGTCTGTCCATCCGATTAACAGTAAATTTGATGGTAAAGAACATTTTTTTTCCTTTATGGTTTCGAAACCATTCACAAAAAGTATGGTTATAAAACCATGAATGCAAAATTATACGGTTTTTTAACCATTTAAAACTAGTATTTTCCAAAAACGTAAAAAAAAAAAATGTATTATTTAACTAGAGATAGGAGCTTGTCTTTTCGTAAGATAATGGGCATTGGAGAGTGCCGGACACAGGAAATTCTTCATGTGTTGAAGGGAATGGAGGAAATAGTGTGGTATCAACACTAGGACTCGAACTTCAATTCTGCCGGTCATGAGATTGACAGCTAAGTCCGCTAGGCTATGATATGTACGCAGTTGCTAAGAACTAAGTAGCTTCATTAGGTGGTTCTAGTGGGTGCGATAAAATTCTAGTTTCTTAACCGTAATAGGTGAAATAAATTAATAAACAGTTTTTCTCAAATGTAACAGTTTGATTACAATTTTATTTATGGTTATTTGAATGTTTTGATTAAATGTGGTAAAATAACCATTCAATAGATTGTTATTTAACGATTTCTTCCGAGAAATTTCTAACAGTGTAGAAAGTTATTTGCATGAAGGAGCAAATGTCATTGAAATATTTATAACAGTTTGTACAGTTTTTTAAATTAACGTAAACACGCGCACTTGACTAAAATTACCCATCATCGATTAAAAAATTAACAAAGTTAATTTGCAAAAGACGTGTAAATAGTTCTGCATTGCCTTTGATAAGGAGGTCAAACGCAAATGTAGACTTTCTGTTAGAAAAAAGAATCAAGTCATACTAAAAACTTTCGCCAGAAAGTTTCATAGAAAAGCTTGCTTCACTTGAGTGATATCTCCATAAGTTAGCAATAATTTTTATAGAAAATCAGTTCAGCTTAAAAGTTTGTGACGAAATAGCATTTAAAAAGAAAATTAAAATAAAGTGAAGCAAAAATATTGGTATTATTGTAACCTTGAAGAATCTATCATTAATACAAGTTGATCAAACATAGATTTTTTTTTTGCATTAAAAAGATAATCAAGTAAAATGCAAATGGAGTTACTTTTATCATACCATAATGCTGTTTCAGTAGTTTGTAATAGGATTTTTTTTCAAATTTCTGTATTTCAATAACAGTAAATGATGTAAAATTGACCTCATCTTGAGCACTCAAGATGAGTCACTCGCTTCACTCGCTCAGTAGTTACGGAAATGCTATTGCAGTATATTTTCAGCCTGTACTGGTTCTATTTTGTAGTATTTTAGCGCCTCTCAGTATCACGTAACTAAAGCATCTAGGTTATTCAACTAAGTTCCAACATTTTTTTGTGAAAAACTAATATAAAAGCAATTTAAGTTGAACAGGGTCAAAAAGATCTTATCATGGGTATCTGCGAAGTTTATGATTATGATGATCTAGATATGAAATTAAATTCTGTTAAATTTGTCTATAATTATAGTAATATTCTAATATAATATTATAAAAATATTGTTAGTTTTATAATAATTAATCCTTAATTGTAATAAATTCATATATTCCGATATATGAGACCGAAACAAATATATGAGACCTGATTAGAGATTTTAAATGATGGAAACATTAAATAAACTTTTCCCACTTAATTTTTATTGCACGAACACTTTAAATAAGGAGAGAATCTTCAATTTCTGCCTAGCTAAATATGTAAATCCTGCATTAAAAATCTTACAGATCTTTTCAAACTTTATTATTATTAACAAAATAAAGCAGTTTTCAATAATTTAATAGCCATCACTATATGTTATTGCGTAAACAAAACGCGTTTCTATGAGAATTTTTCCCTGCCAGTTCTCCATTAAAGTCTCGAAAAAAAAATCCTTCTAGCATTAAGGCTCCAACTACCATTAATTTTCTACACGAAAAGACTGTTTTTATTGACATCTTCACAATACTTATATATTTATGTATCAATACTATCCCCGTGAAATTTTTAATTTCTCTTAACTCTTATTGGTTAGTTATAAAAAGGTAAATCAAATGTGATTATTAGAATAATTGGGGACAATAATTCAATACAAACTATCCCATTGTTAAAAATAATGAATACCAATAGTCTAAAACTGAAAAAAAAAATTACAAATTTAGAAATTATTTTTACATCTTAAAATCTTTTTTTTTTCTATTTGCTACTTAAATGTCTAGTATTTGGTCTTGTGACTACACGTGCAAACGTTACACAAAATTTACCATTCTACAAAAAATTTGAACGAAATTTTAGTGACATAATACGAAACAAAATAAACGAAGCAAATTATATCAGCTGCATAATGTTAGTTTTAAATGATTTTATCAATTAAAGCTCTGAAAATGATCATAGGTTCTTTTACGTAATAACATATAGTGATGGTTAATAAATGATTGAAATTCGTTTTGTTTTGTTAATACTAATAAAGTTTAATAAGATGTGTGGGAATTATAATGCAAGATTTTCATATTTAGCTAGGCAGAAATTGAAGATTCGTTCATTATTTAAAATATTCGTGCAATAAAAATTGAAGTGGGAAAAGTTTATTTCAATTTTCCATCATTTAAAATCTGTAATCAGGTGAATTCAGACTGATCAGGTGAAATGTATACAAGGTGAAATGTATTTATTTCAATTGTTAATGTATTGTTAACGAATCGTTTGGGAATCAACTGTATAACATCAGAAAGGAAATAACCAAGTGCAACATTTGTTACCACTGTAAATATTTAAAAAAATCCATCTATAAAACGGGTGAAATTGGAATATATGAATTTATTACAATAAAGGATAATTATTATAAAATTAACAATATTTTGAAGACTGTATTTTTATACTAAATTTAATTCAATTTTATAAGTAACAATTAGTTCATAATAAGTTTTAAGACGTTGTTCACCTTGCCCGATGATGTGAGGCTTCTGTGATTATTAAAAACTATATATCCAAATTAGCTTACCCATATTTCAAAATGAACATAAACGGTCAATTTTTTTTTAATAAAATACATACATTTAGACATCTTCCTTATATTTGGAACACATTATGTTATTAATAAAGGGAATATTATCGTTCTTTCAATTTTTTTTTTACATTTAATAAATGCATCATTAAAAATATGTGAATGTTTTACAAAATTTTTATTCGGAACCCATTTTTTTTAATTCTAGAAATTGTAAAATAAGTATTCCTTTGTTTAATTTAGCTACATAGATTTTGGTGTCAGATTATATCAGCCAGACTATATTTATATTTACAATTACAATATACTAAGAAATGTATGTATATATATATATATATATATATACANATATATATATATAAAGCAAGACTTAGCTGATGTTTTTAACTCAAAAATGTTTTTTTTAAATATCTAAGCAGTCTTACTATTTAAAAATTCTTTGTTCCAGGTGCCAAATATATTGTATTAAAAGATGGAGAATTACATATCAGAAATGCAGCTCGCAGTGACAGTTTCAGAAAATATAGGTGTTTAATCAAGAATACACTAACTGGAAGTGTAACCCCAAGTGTTAGTTCTGGGCAACTTATTGTAACAGGTATTATTTCTTTTTCTAATGATCAATATTTCTATTTGGCTCAGTTATAAAGGGCTCCTTTCATTCTTTCTCTCATTCACAAAAATATTAGCTTTACTCTCACGAAAATTACTTCTTTTGACATATTGTCCAATATTTTTTTCTTATTTTCCTCTCTCTATATATATTACATTATACTTATATTTCCCTGTATTAGGTCTATAGTTTTCTGTTCTTAGTTTAATATAATTTCTGATACTTGGTAGAGCCATTTTGTAATGAAACAAAAGAGATTATGTAAAAAAAGTACCCAATCTAATTCAATCAAAGTTTTATTCAGTGGCAAAAGCTGAAAAGACATTTTAAATAACTGCTCGAATTCCACCAAATTCATTTCAGACTTTCATAAAATAATTTAAACCAATGTTAAATCTTAAGATATATTTCACTAGACATTTCGAAATTATTTTCACTTAAGTTTAATAATTTTATTTGAGATCTAATAACCCACATGCCGGTTTTCAGAAAAGTCAAGAAATTTACGGGCGTAGCTGGTAAACTTCTGCGTAAAAGCAGTTTATATTTCCACGTATTATTTGTCAAGCTAGAGCCTAAACTGTAACTGGCCAGTTAGTTTGTGGTTCTCGCCAATCAAAGCCTTGAAAGCAATGCTATCTCATTAATCGATTCATTTATCTATTTTAAGAGTTCTGAGGAGTTATTTCAATGAGTAGAATAGCCTCCTGTTTCATTGCAAATGTTAATTATCAACATCACAATATGTTTGGCTAAGACAATGTTCCAATGTTTAACCAATTTTTGATAAGTTACTCTTGCTAGTTGCTTTGATAAGTTGCCTGCCAACTCCTCCTGAATATATATCTAGTTTATCGGTTCACTTTTGATTGAGATGTAATAATGATAGCTGTTTGCTACAATTTCAATAACATCACCCTCCCATTCGTAATAGCTTTAAATTGTCAAGAGAGTATTATTTGTCTTTTAAATTAAAGTTGTCAATTGGAAACTGCATGACTTCTTTTTAAAAGCAATGCTAGTACATCAGCTGACCAATTATAATTTTTTTAGTTAAGGCTAAAGCTAATATTTCAATAACATGAGTAATTCTTGCACATGAATCTAGCATGATGATAACTCCCTTTTAATATCAATCTAGTACATTAGTTGGCCAAATACTATTGCTTAAATTACGTCTAAGAGGTATTCAATGACACGGGTAATTTCTGTATGAGTCTTGAATTGGTAACTCCCTTTTAAAAGCAATCACTATTTCTGTAATTTAGGCCAAGAGCTAATATTTCAATAACATGAGTATTTTCTACATTCATTTCATGGATTTAATTGATATTTCACGCAGTTTCCGATTTTTTTTCTGAATAAGTAAAAAAAAAATATTGCGTAATGCATTATCTTCTAAAATATGTTTTTCTTAACAGCATAAAAAAATACTCGAGTGAAATCATATGAAAATCAATTAAAACTATATTGTGCAAAATAATTTCAGAAAAGATTTGCCATGTTTCAACTTTCTTTGCGGAATTAAATGTTTATTTTGATATAACCATTGAGATTCTCTTCCAAATATTTGAAGAATAAAATTCTTGAGCTTCATCATTTTAAAACATCTGGACATCCCTTAAGAGAGATCGAAGTCGTTAGATTGTCAAAACTTGTTTCGTTTCTCATAATTCAAATTTTTTTCTTATTTGTTCCTTCTTTTTTCAGTTCTCTCTAAATAACTTGGGACTTCAAGGAAAGAAACAATGAAAATACTTTTTTCAAAAATCTATTGTATCTAAGAACTATTTTAAGAAAGCATGGTTTAGCATTTTATAGAAGATGACAAGATTTTCACTAACTAAGATACAACCTTTAATTTAGCCATATTTCTTCTATATGTCGCCCTTATTAATTTTTCTGTTTTATTTTCTTATATTTTGAGAATAAAAACAATTTTGGAAAAATTACGAGACTAATTTATTCAAAGAGGTAATCGTGTGCAAAAACAAACTTATTTGTAATTTTTAATCAGTTGTCATCCTTATTAATTTTTCTGGTTTTTTTTCCTCATATTTTGAGAATAAAAATTATTCTGCAAAAATTACCAAACTAATTTACTCAAAAAGGTAATCTTGTGCCAAAAAAAACTTATTTGTAATTTTTTATCAGTTGTAAAAATTATTACATTGAAGATGAAAACAGTTTTGAATACTAAGCTACACAATTTTCGTGACTATTAAATTTGAAATCAAAAATTTCCAACTTTCAATATCATCGGTCAATTCTCAACAGCTCTTCTGGCAGAATTCTAGACTATGGTTAGATTTCTGGAGAGTACAAAATACGATTACGCGTGATTATAATTACGATAAAAAAAGCACTAGTGCAACACAGACATATTTCATGTCTGATTTTGTAATTAAATTATCGACTGGCATGTTCAAAGAAAACCCCTTGAGCCATTAACGTTACTTTTTAGCATCTAAAGTAAAGTAATTTTATCAAACTTAACTCAAATTATATCCTTATATTTCTTTTCATTATGCATTTTGTATCTACTCCAGTACAATAATATCTACATTACTACAAAAGCATTAGTGCAATAGTTCTAAAGAGTTTCTCAATTCAAAAAAAAATATTTTGATCTCAATAACATTATTCATTAAAGTAAAAAATCGCACTAATTAATACGAGATTTATTTTCTCATTTCTTTTAAAGTTATATTTTAATTTTAAATAATCAAAAGAAAAAAAAATTAGAGTTTTATTAAGAAGCTCACATTTGAATTTTTCTTGTGTGGATTTTGTTTTATTTGAAGAACAAATTTGCAAATTTGTTCCTCAAATAAAACAAAATCATATTTATTCATGCATTATGACTTATTGAAAATGTGAATAGAGTAATTTCAGCAATTAAATTCCTAACATTAAGAAATAAAAAAAACTTTCACATCATTTTTTAAATTGTTTATACACAACAAAATAGTTCAAAACTATCACATAAAGATAAAAGAATGGTGAATCTTGCTCCTCAAATACAAAAAAAAACCTGCTCTATTCATTCTTTTTTTACAGACAAAGACTGATTTATTTGCGCCGCCCAACTGGAGATATCTTTTCACGAACAAAATAAAAAATAACCTAACATATTTTCAACTATGCGTATTATTATGCAAATATTTGCAGAAACTATTTATTTATGCAAGAATAATTTATTGAAGTTAATGGAAAAGTGACATTGCACGCTAATTCATAATTACTAAATATGGTCTCAGTTTTCCAAGAATTTCATGCTAGAACTTTATTTCAAAACTATAATTAGTTTATATTACAATCTCGGTCCTACTTACTTTTGTAAGTAATTTAAAAGCGTAATATATTGCTTAATTTCCCTATGTTATCAATTAAACAAAGAGAAAGTTTCTACTACATTCATATAATTTCGACGCAAAATAAAATAAATTTAATTTAGCTTTTGAACAACTTTTTGAGCAATTTTGATTGTTCATTTTATAATCACTGTTTAAACTTCTTGTAATTGACCATACGGTAATATGCAACCGGAAAATCACCATTTATATCTATATTATTTATTTCTTGGCTTTTTTTTTTTGAGTTTAAACCCTGTATAAACTTATTTTGTCTAAATACTAAATATATATTGATGACATCAATGACGAGGAATTTTCGCACAAAAATCGTACCAAGTTTATAATGATCATAGGTAGAAGAAAAATTGTTGATTTCACTATGGCTATTGAAATATATACAAATATATATATATNATATATATATATATATATATATATATATATGCTTTCAGTGAATCATGTTTTAAAAATTTACATCAAACTTTTAGGACCGTAATAAAATATACGTGATTGCACAAGTCGCGCTTCATGGCCAAATGTTCCATGTACGGAACAAGATTTTCGAACTAAAGCGGCTCAAAATCACGCAAACGTGATCTCAATATGATTCCATCATATTACCTCTCGTATTAGAACATATGTGTAAAGCAGGCCCATCGAACAGTTTCTTTCTACTTCCACCGGTTTTGAAAAGGTTAACTGAACTTTGAATTCTTGTCCACTAAGATATACATCGTTTGTGTTCTTAGATTATGAAAGAGCCCACAATTCTCCCCTTTAAATTTCTAAGGTATTGTAAATTTATTAAAACAGTGTTTAGTTCAAAATGGAAGTTAAGTAACCAACTGTGTACATAAGAAACCGTCAATACTTAACTAGAATAAATTAATTTGGATTTAAACTAGAATAAAAATTATGCTGGAGGGGAATTTTGAACAAAAATGACATTTTAATTGCAAATTTCTCCATGAAAACGCTTTTTTATTTCATTGCAGCTAACGAGAAAAAAAATACATTTTTTCCTTGGCAGTATTGTTAGTCATTTGGCATTATCCAGGGACCAAGTGCAGCCTAAAGAATGCTACTACTGAAGAAATAATTTTTTTTGCATGTTCTGATTATCATAATGCATAAAATAAAACTATATCAAATTTTACTGTCGTATGCTTTTTGCAAAATTTAAAATACCAGAATGATCTTTTTTTAATAACAGTAAAAGTTTTATTTTTTTAAAAAAAAGAAAGAAAAGGGTGGAATTTTTAACTTAGAATCCATTTTGCAAACAACTGCTATTTTAAAGCAATTTGTTCATAGAAAAAAAAACCAGATTAAATGAAATTGTTATACTAAAGAGATTATTTTAAGCTTTCAACTTAGACGAACTTCGAGATTGTATTTTTTACTTCTATTCTTAACATTTCTCTCAGTTACCATTGCAAAAAAAAAAANTCTCTCAGTTACCATTGCGAAAAAAAAACATACTGAACATATGTTACTGAAAAATACTGCCGTCGTGCAATCTTAAAAGTATATTTACAAATTTTGTTTAAATGTAATACTGTTTTCTTTTATTAAAAAAAAAAGAATTCTTCCATTTTCATTATCTTACATATTATTTTCGCCCAACGATAGCTAATTCTCATCGCTATGACAAATATACTTTACTTACGGCAACGAAAAAGCGTTTTAGAACTACATATATGT